CTCCTAGCGTCCAGACCTGTATTTCTGTCAGCCGTGACTTGCACTGCTCGCCTAAATCGAGTTAAGAGCATAAAACATCTTTTTTATGTTTTTGACAAATCACTTATTTCGAGATAGGTTCTTATTGCAAATCAAAATTAATGACAAATTTTTTTATATGTATGAGTTTTTATAACCGCTTATATCAAGTAAGGCTTTTGTTGTAAAATGAATTTTGAGTTTATTCAAGTACTAATTCGATTTAAGCCGTTTGTGTAAAATAATATTTGTTGGTTATTTAAATTCATGTCGAGTTAGCCGATTATTGCAAATATAATTATATTTCATAAGGTTTCTTAAGTTGAGTTAGGCTCTTGGAACACTTGCAAATAAGAACAAAACATCAAAATTAAGCGTTTAGTGTTTGAAATAATATATGTATAATCAAAATAGAATATTTTGTTTTTTTTTATAATAAATAATATTTTAACATAATAACATATTATTTTATGTGGTATATAATGTAAATACTTCATGTCCATGGTTTTAAACTTATTTACTCCAATCATAATTAAATCTTACAAGTGACAAGCAAAATAATTGTATTTTTTAACCCAAAATATAAAATATCTGCACAAATTACCTTTATTATCACTGCTCTAATTACCCAAATATCCCATGTTTTAGTTATGAATTCTTTTATTTAACAGATAACCTTGTACATAATTTCGTGATTTACTTGCTACAAATACTTTTTTCAACCAACGGAGTTCCCATATACAAATGTAATATTGCCATGTATCTGATTGATGATTGTTTTGCCTTTGTGGTCTAACTGTATTATTGAACAAAAAAATACTACATATACATATTTTATTCACAATTGGTAATTGATATACATTTTATATTTTTTCTCATTTCTTTCTGTATTAATATTACACAATACAAATAAAATTGAACGACATACGAAATAATGCATATGCAATACCAAAGTATGTATATCTAATAATAAGTATTTCGACTCGTTCCATTCCGTTAGTTTTCGTTTGCATCTTGCTTCCAAATTCTTAAAATATTCCAATTTTTTTTAGAAATAGATGGTAATAAGAGTTGTGTAGGCAAGAAAGAAACAAAATATTGTAAACAAACGAGTGTATCAAAAACATTGAACTGAAATAAAATTAAATTAAGTTAGGTAAAAATTTTGTTATTTTTGTTTTGATAATAACAAAATTTATTTTGCATTTTTTAAAGTTAGGTAAAAAATTCATGAAAGCAAAAGAGTTTGAAATTTCATGTATGAAATTGTACACATGCATGTACCTGGTACAGTAGATACACAGTATCAGGTGAAAAAAAGGTGTATGCACACTGATTACTTTATGAAATATAGTTATTACCGATTCATTTAAAAGAACAAAGCTCTCCACATCTCTTGGCAACAAATGAAATTTTCGTGTCGGCTTTTTTGCCTCACACACAATACTACATCCCAAACACTTCAAATAATGTTTACTCATTATTATAAAAAAATTTTTTTTTTCACCACTACTTAAAATTTTTTTTAATATTGTACGACTTTTTAAAATTTATTTTTATTATTTTTCATATAAATTATAATAGTTTTTTTTAAATACTTTTTTTCCGCTCCGCTTTTATAATATGAATACACCTTTTTTGCCACCTTGTACTGGAATGAATTAAAGAAATTATTGTGTCGCTTTTAAAATTCTTAATATTTTTCCCTATACTTTATATACGAGCAAATAATAAAGTGTCGCCTTTCAAAATACATTATAAAAAAGCAGGTTGACATCTATTGCGTACTCTTTCCCTCTCCCAAAAATTCTTATGTGTATAAAAATGAAAATAACAAGGTATGCTGCTTAACTCTTTTAACTAAGGGAATTTTTTGTATACAAATATTGGTGAATGATTGCATTAGTGTGATGTAAACGGAGAGTCGAACTACTTGTTAGTAGATATACTTTGATTTAAGGCATTGCCTTATTGATGCATTTTTGTACATAATTTTTACATGTTTACTCATCGAGGCTGCATCGATTACTTTCCGATTATACCCATACTAAACGCTAAGAAATAACGGTGTTAGATATAGACTCAAGTGTATGTTTTTGATCAGCGTCAAATTCTGAGTTGATTTAGCTTTGTCTGTCCGTCCGTCCGAACGATAACTCAAAAACTAATTGAGCGAAGTTCACCAAATTTTCACAAATGATTTATTGTAGTAAGTTCCAGAACCCTATTTAAATTGAGCATGATCGGGGTACCGGTTCGGGTAGCTGCCATACAACTTCAAAATTTATTTGGCTATATCTCAGAAACTATAAAAGTTATGGTATTGAAATTTCACTCAAACGAATATATTAGTAGGGCCAATATGCCCCATAAAAGTCGTTGAAATTACTTGGCTCCTTCTGGTACCTGCCATACAACTTCAAAAGTTATTTAGCTATATCTCAGAAACTATAAAAGCTGTGATATTGAGATTTCTCACAAGTGAATATATTAGTAGGGCCGATGTGTCTGGTAAAAGTCGTTGAAATTACTTGGCTCCTTCTGGTACCTGCCATACAACTTCAAAAGTTATTTGACTATATTTCAGAAACTATTAAAGTTATGGTATTGAAATTTCACACAAACGAATATATTAGTAGGGCCAATGTGCCTCATAAAAGTCGTTGAAATTACCTGGCTCCTTCTGGTACCTGCCATACAACTTCAAAAGTTATTTGACTATATCTCAGAAACTATAAAAGCTGTGATATTGAGATTTCACACAAGTGAGTATATTAGTAGGGCCGATGTGCTTGATAAAATTCGCTAAAATTTCTTGGCTCTTTCTGGTAGCTGCCATACAACATCAATAGTAGTTTGGCACAACCAGTATTTTGAATAACACATAGTACTGAAATTTTGCATAAATTAATATGGTAATACGGCAACTTAAAGTCATAGTCTGCCCCATAGTTAGTTATGGCACATTAGTTATTCGCACATATGATAACAAATTCGTACGGGTATCACAGACAAGGTCAACTCTATTTTTTTTCTCGTTATTACTCATTTCCATGAGATCAAGTTTCTTCGATTTTCAAATATTTATAATATTTTTGTTATTTTTAAAATATATTTTTTACAAAGACAGTTATTTATTATTGCTTTTAAATGTGTTAATGTTGGAAATTTTAAATAAGGCAAAAATAATCCAACATAAAATTTATGTACGATGAATAAATGAACGTTAAAAATTTTGGAACTTGTTAGGAGAACTTTAATGATTGTAGCGAATGTTAAAGATAACGCAATGTATTTAAAATTAACATATCGAATTCAAAGTGTTTTAAAACTGTTGACTTTGGTTATGATGACTATATTAATGATCCTGATTTTAAAATTTCTAAAAAAATTCTTCAGGATCTGACGTAAATGATGGGCTCATTGAAATAGAAAAAGATGTTAAAAAATATATAAAAAATTCGGTTTTAAAGCAAAACAAACTAAAAAAATATTCAAGAAAAAGGGTATTCGACGATAGAAATTTGGGAAATGAATATATAACTTGACAAGGCAAGCAAGTTTCCTTTGTCGCAAAAACTGCAGCTGTAAGATTTCTAACAAGCAAAAGCTGACTTCCGAGTCCTATCGTGGACGAGAACATTTTTCTAAAGATGGCTTCGTTAATGGGCATATCTGAAACAAAAACATGCAAGATAAAACATACCAGCATTTTAGGAGAACGTAATTGTCACATGCAATATAATCTACAATATGAAGCGTATAAGGTTGAAATTTATAAAGCTTGCTTTGATATTTATAAAGCACTGCGATTTGATGAAACTAATGGTCTCCAAGTGTTTGAGACAAGAACGAAATATCTTCATCTACAACTTTATCATTAAATATCTTCATTATACGACTTTATTTATTGGCACAACCTTATCAGATTCGTTGTACAATGAAGACTTTTTTTAATTGAAATACTTTTTGAAATTCTTTTAAATGGAAAGAGACACAATAAAGATTTCAAATAATTGACTTTGGAAAAATATTTCACAAAAACAGTTTAAGCAAAGAACCCTTTCACATATTTTAGGACGTGGCGTTAAGTAGTTAGATTTTCAAAATATAATCCAAATTGAAGAAGAAGCAAAAATTAGTCCACCAAAAGAAAGACTTAGAAAGATAATTTCTTGATCCTTTGTTTCACAAATTTTACAAAACGATTAAGACTGGAAATTTAACAGATGAGAGTGATGGAAAATAGAGGATACTGTTACCTTTCTTAAATTTAATTAAGCAAGGCCTAAGTTGAGATACCTATGCTTTGCAAAGTGTTTCTTATAAATTTGGTATAACCGCTTATCTTTTTCGGTATTTCACATTTTTTTAAGGCCCTTAAAACCTTGACATAGAAATGGTATTTGTGCTATATCCTTTGTACCGTAAAAGATTTTTTATCGTTTGAGGACTAAAATTAAAGCCTAAGAAAAGGGCCAAAATTCTGTAACAAAAAAATTTAGTTTCTGAAACTTTTACAAAAATTGTAGGAAAAAAAATTAAAAAAATACAAATTGGGAAAAATTTGTCTTCCGAAAGTACATAAAATACAATATCAAGTAATGTTGCTTTCAAGCTCTTTACTAGCCCTTTCAGACACTGTTCATTTGAAGCGTTTATCTTTTTTAGAAGGGAAGTTATAAGCAAGAAAGCTTGTGTAAGTAAAAATTTCGTGAAAATTCGGTAAAATCCTTGTATCTCGGAAACCGTTGAGTTTTGGCAAATAGTTTCAAAGATCAATTTTAACCATTTTTGATGCCCTAAACAGTGTTATATAATATTGTACTCTTTACTAACTCTCCCTGTATGCATGCATTATGTGTTTCACAAGTTGTAAATTAAACATTTTTAATTCAATAAATATAATTGCATAATTGCATTTTGTTCTGTTTTATATTGAAACCTAATAATGGTACTAATTTTAATGTAATTGTAATAAATTTTTATTATTTCATGAAGAATTTAGTTTATTGAACATTTTATTAAAATTTTTTATAACAATTTATCAGAAAACAATATTGAAACCAAAATAGTATAGTGTGAGTATATATTTAAAATCAAATTCGTTGCCCAACAAATTATATAAAGTATTTTGATATATGTATGTATGTATCTATTTTCACTGCTTTCTTTTATATCAAAAATCTTGTATGATACAAAAACCGTTTGATAAAAATACTCAATGGCTATACATACTTATTCACGTATATACATGCACGAAATCAATACATACATATATTCATACATATTTAATATATATGAATATATATATACATATATATATTCATACATATTTAAAGAGTTCTATATACATAGAACTCTTTAAAGGAATTTTGAATCATTTAAGATATTTGTGTTGGAAAATTTATTTCCTCTTGATCTACTATTTGTTGCAGAGCTTGTTGCCGGTCCATTTTGTACTCTTCCATAAAAATTGCCAATACCCACTCTGGAACTAATAAAAGCATGTATAGTTCGGTAAACTGAGGTACACCTTTCTCTGATTCATACATCTCTCGTAGATAAGTACACATTGCTAGCAAATGTTTCGCTGGTACAAAGTTTTGTAAAGCCATGTAATCTAAATTTTCTATCTTCGGAATGTCTCGTTGTGGTCGCAATTTGAAGTTATCAAAATGCTTGTCCAGCATTATTTTATATTTAGGAAAAGTACTTAATACGTTGTCGACCGATAAATGGTTTAATGTTTTAGTTTCGATTGCTTTTTGTGTTTTTACGACATTTTTAATGACATTATTTAATTGTTTAATGGCTTGAATATCTCTGGTATGAGTTTCTCGTTTTAATATGCGTTCTTCAGCAGAAATAAGAAGTGATTCAGAAATAGCACTTTCTATAATTCCTCTTCCCAGCAAACTATATTTTGCTTTTGTTTCCTTAAAGTCACACTGTTGAAATTTATTAGTACTTAACCAATTTTCCATTACATTCAAAGAAGATAAACATTCGTTACTCAATTTTGCTCCATTTTTTTTATTAAAGGCCATAACTTTGTCTTCTTGCCAACATTTTTTTTTACTACTTATACCAATTTTATGTTTGACCGGTTTTGACGGTTTTCTAACCTTAGATTCTAGTTCTAATTCAGAATCGTCGGAACCAAATAATTCTTTTTCTTTGCATGATAATACTTCTGCACCAATAAATTTTATAGTTTTGTTAGGGTTATTCGAAATAACATAGTTTTTCTCTTTATTTTCAAATATTGACCTTAAACCAGACCGTTTGTGACTTCTAGTTTCTCTATGCTCTTCATGTTTTTTGGGATCATCAAATCTTTTTCGTTTCTTTTGGGTATATTGACATTTTTGGTTATCTGACACTTCGCTATTATCATCGTTTTCCCCTGAAGAAATTGGAGACGCTTTATAAACCGGATATTTTTCAAGCTTCTTCAAAGACTTTTGGGGAGATAATAAATCTGGGCTAATACTTTCAGCTTTGTTAAAAAGTAATTGAGGAGTGTAAGGTTCTTCTTGAGATATTTGCGAAGGTGTATACTTAACAAATTCCATATCTACAATTTCATCCTTAAGTTTGTTTTTAATGGGATTATAAGGCTCGTAAGATAAATCAAGCTTTTTCGTAGCTTTAAAACCGCTTTGTACCTTATTTTGGTTTTTTAGCAACGAAGAGTTGCTTCCGACCTTAATTTGGTTTTCGAGGCTAATATAAATTCTAACAACAAAAGAATGGAAATATTCAACTTCAACTTGAAAAATTTCAGCAAAGTTTTTTACAAAGTTTTCCTTCACAATTTCAATTTTGATTCTATTATTACAAATCAAATAATTTTCTCTTGTAAAATTGGTAAGAGGCTCATCATTTGGTTCATTATGCTTTTTATATAATATTGTATGCAGCTTGTCGTAGACTTCCAACCAATCTTTAAACGTGAGCCAGTTATTCAGGTTTATATATTGTCCTAAGATTTTTAAAGGTACTTTCTCTAGTTGATAGTCCACTACCAAATTTTTATTGCAGTACTGAAATTATTTTCAATTAGTGAAGCACATTTTAGCAATTTTTCTTCTTACACTGACTAGTTCAATGTAATGAGAAGGAAACATTTTCATATGCAGTTTCTTTTAAAATTGTTTTCTGGGTATAAAAATTAAGCCGCCTGCGAAACAACAAACATATATTGAAAAAACACAAAGTTTAAAATTTATTTATATTTGTAGATGAACTACGTATGTTGCACGCTAAACACATGACAAGACAAGTAGAAAAATTAAACTAAAATCTGTATACAAATTCAAAATTATTTACCTGTTAAATAGTGTTGTCAATCCGATTAAAATGAAGCTGCACAAAAATTTGTGCTGGAACAACTTTCAATTTAGGTACACGACATGCAGTGAAAAAATTGTAAACTAAATTATATTTATAAAAAAAATGTTTTAAAGAGTTAACATATGGTAGATTAAGAAATACCTTTTGTTTTGTTAAGCTTTAAGAGCTTAGACAATGACCGAATAATTCCTTCACCTACTTTGTTTGCCTTGAAAGCTTTGACAGTTTAAATGAGTCAAAATTGAAAGAACAAAAACGATTTCCCGCGGCGAAATGTCAGAATCCATATAGAATATACCATGGACATATTATACTATATGGACAGAAAATTTTTTAAAACAGTTTTTTTTAAATATTATTGTTTCTTAAATAAAAGTATAATTTTCTGTAGCAAACGATCGAAACTAAATATAATTTTCGGGTGCCGCAATATAAAACTAAAATATTTTCAGATTAAAAAAACTTGTTATATTTATATTGACGCTAGATGTAAGGAGAAAAAATGTTCGGCAAAGTTAAAGGAAAATTATATATGTTTCTGGTTAATGACATTTTTGCATTTTGTACTTTTTTTTCAAGCAAATCATATTTGCTTTGCATAATATGCAATATAATTAAATGTGTAATAGAATTAACTATATTACCTTCCTATTTTAGCGCATGCAAATTAATACACTTTAATTATTATTAATTATTTTAAATCGAAATTTTTGTTTTCAATTTCCTTTTCCTATTTTAATATTTATCAGAGATGGTAATATGAAAAACAACATTTTTCTTTTTTACACTTTAATACTCTCTTTATGCTAGCTACATTTTCTTTTTCGACGTGAAATATATGTGATTAGCCATTGTACATCCATATACACTATTTAAATAAAACTGCCCAGAATGAAGCGAAATGATCCGTTGGCGGTTTTTTCACGTCATTTGTTTTCATGTGTAACAGTAGATGCAAAATACTTAACAGTCGTTCATCTCTTGTTCTGGATCAACAACGGATATGGTCGGTCGTCTCCGCTTTGGTTCTGTTTCCACAGTCAATTATTTCCAATTAGTGAAGCACATTTTAGCAGTTTTCATTATTACGCTTCCAATTTTATTCTTATGCTTTCAAAGTAAACACATTTTCGAGATAATCGCGCTTTAAAAAGTGACCTTGACGACAAAAGTAGCAGTGTTTTATTTTTAATTTTGCAAAGTTTTTAGAAACCTAGAAAAAATAAATTTTTAAAGAAATTTTTGATAATATAATATGACGTCGGAAAAACAAAAATTATTTGGAAGAAAAACAAGCTCTCCCTCTCCCAAATTATTAATGAGCTATCCCTCTCTCAAATAAAGCTCTCATTCGGCTTATGATTAATTTACTTTGAAAAGTTTTTAAAGCATTTTTAGCAAGCGAGGTTGTCTTTGAGGTAGCGCCTTTAATATTGAAGATTTTGACGAATACAGACGCTAATCCGTATTACCAAAACAGCTGCATAAAAGTTTTGATTACGTTGTCAACACCAGTTCAAATACGTGTTAGATGTCACCTTCACATCAGAATAAATCTACGATTAAATCTATAATAAAATCTGATGAGCACTTACACATTAGATCAGCGTTACAAACTGAAAAATTTGGCAACATGAAAAGAAAAAAATGGGTTAGAGTTCAGATAAAAAAATCCGTCTTTCATATATAGCACATTTTTATTGTCATATTATATTCAATTGTCTTTTATCCAATAAATCATTTGTCAAAAACATTTCCTATTAAAATGAAATTTTCAAAAATGCCTTATATAATGTTTGTGAAAAAAATATTTAGTTAGCTTAATTAGTTAACGTTTTATACATTTTGGAAGTGACTTTATTTGATATATTTTTACTTATTATGAGATTATAACCATTAAATATTGTTTTGTTAAATCATCATTATATAATAATATTGCACTTAATGTGTTTATTGACAATTTTTTACTATAGGTTTTTTTGCTATTTATGACAGAAAAAGTTCGTTCTAGATTTTCCGGCAAAAAAAGACTAAATAATTTAATCAATTTCAATAAAAGATAAGTATAATTTTTACCCCATTTAAGAAAAACTGATAATTCGGCAGACCTTCGAAAAACCTGAAAAATAAGATAAATCTGGTAATATTTGAACGCTGCATCAGATTCATTCTATATAATGTAAATTCACGCAAAAAGTAGTTTTAATAGAAAACACAGGTTCATAATTAAAAACTTTAAGTTCGTTATTGATTTATATGGTATACCGTATAGCATATCGGGTAAATGGCCTCTACGATGTTGCTGACACATACGCTATTATCCATTGTATCTGTTACAATTATCCATGATTGTTTTGCATAAACAATCTCAATTTGTTTTACGAAATATTACGAATTTTTGGCTTCGTTCCTGTTTTTTTCTTTAAATGCTATCATATTTCTTATTATTTTTTTTATTTTTTTTACGTAAAAAAGAGTTTAATATTTTAAAAAATCTCAGGATATTATACACATTTTTTAAAAAGCTTCCCATTAAAATTCTATTGCACGAAAAAGAAAAAAAGGTAGGAGGAAAGAAAAAATGAAAAAAAATTTCAAATTCATATTTCAGTCTGGTTTCAAATTTAATGAGGAAGGATGTATGATTTTTTATGCACATTTTGTATTTCCCAATAAGGTAAGTTGAGTAGTGTCGGCTAACAAACATGTTATTAAAAGTAATATAGGTTGACACATTTCAACAATTTGAATTATCTCATTTCGGTTATTTATACGTTACTTATAAAATTGTTTCAAATAATTTCAGTTAGTTTTTAAGTTATTAAAAATAAATATGTATGTACCTACTTCCAATAAATTTTTTTTTTAAATAATTATTTTAAAACTATTTAAAACATGTTATATTGAGTGCTTCAAAAATTTTGTTGTGCCTTTCTTTCATATTTTATTAGCAGGTAAACAAGAGCAATCAATTTATAAAATGGCCCTGCCTGTGTATGAATCTTAATAGTAAACGGAAACGGACAAAAATTTACGAATATCATTTGTGTAATTTTTGAGTCATTTGCTAAGATACTATTTATTCCTTTTGAATATTTTTTTCTTAGGTAATATATTAAGTTTTAAAAAATTTTCTCAAGAATAGAGGTAAAATTTAGAAGTGTATATAAAATTTGTATTTAAAAAATAATATTTGATTGTATTTTAAATATTTTTTTCTAATTCCCTCTTTAAATTTTTTCTTTACTATTTATATCAATATTTAATAATTATCTTTCATTAATTATATTTTCAACTTGACACCACAGTTACTTCCCATATCTTGAGTTAACTTACCCTATGAGAAAAAAAAGCTGTTCACTTAAAAATAATGAAGTGCTTTCAGTAACATATAAAACATTGAAGGTGAAGGTTGTGCTTGTTGTTTTTACGCTGTTTCAAGAATTTTAAAATAATTATGAATGAAAATATTAATATATTTTTTTGATTTTTCAAATATATTTTCTAAATCTTATCTGCTTTATAATAAGTATGAATTTATTTTAATATTTCTTCTCTAAAAATAGCCACTTCGATAAAAAAAAACCCATATAAAATCAGGTAGTGCTTTCAAGTTTCTCTCTGAGCATTGGGACTTGTTAGATATAAAGACATTAATTCAGAGAAGAGTAAAAGATGCAAACATATGCTTGCAGTCGTATCGCATTGCATGAAAATATCGAAAGAGATGGTTCCATTACGTCTAAGCTCAAATCAGGCAGTCGTATACATTATTATTGAAGAAGTACTAAATTTGAATTGAGTGCAAACTAATGTCAAAATCATCAAGTGTGCTATTTCTGTCAAACTTTTCAAGGACGTGATAGTAGGTCTGTCTGGTACAAAATTTGAAAAAGAGAGCAAAATATGACGTCACTTTTCGTAAAGTGAAGAAAAAAAACTCATTTCAAAAATAAGTAAGGCAGACGGAAAAGTTGAAAAAACTTTATAAAATAAGCAATAAAAGTGAAATATCAAAATATTTATCAACATAAACAAATATTTTTTAGTTATGCAAAAAAGCAATTTCATTGAATTTCTTTATTTTTAATTATTTGTTTTAATTTGACAAGAGTTAATTTAATTTATGTAATTATTTTTTATAATTTATTTTTTGTAGTTAGATGTACTTTTAATATTCTTATTTGCGTTCTGTCTTAAGACAGGGTTTCTTTCATTTTTAAGATTAAATCGTGATAATAAATACACGAAAACGTAAATAAATTTGACGTGTATAAAGCCTACAATATGGCGATTCCATAAGCAATTCTACGTTTTTCTTTGAAGTAAGGTATTTTTTACCTGTACGTACGCCAAAATCTAATATTTAATATGAGTCTAATGAAAGTAGAATGTGTAAACACTATTTTTGTTTTATAAAATGTTGCCTGCATGCAGTGCTGCTAAATAAATCAGCCCAATATCATTATATTGAATTTTTTTCGTTTAGAACTTCAAATGAAGTTTAATTGGACATTGTAGAAAGCCAAAATATCACGATTTAAATTAGAGGCAAATCAAATATGAAAAGGAAAAATTTATGACATGCATAATGATGTCATAAGTTCATGAGCATTTAGTTATTGAGCCAAGTCGGTTAATATAGAATTAACTGTCATGGAAGTAGCGTTACCATGCTTTGTCTATAATTGAGTTTTCGGTCAAAATGTTTTTGTGAATTTTGGAAAATGTGGAAAAAGGTAGCAGTACCATATTGAGTTCACAGAAAATAAAAATTGCGCCAAAAAATTTAAAAAATTTGGTAACATAAAAATTTGATAAAAAACGAACTTTAATATTTTTAATATAAGCATATTTTTGCTGATATATGGCTTATTTGCTATATATGTACATATATAATATATCTAAGTTAAACTATTTTTAATAATGCAATGTTTGCGAAAAATTATTAAGTTAATTTTTTGTTAAATAAATGATCCAAAGCATTTTTGAATAAAATTTTTTTAACATAGTTTTATTAATATTCCACTTGCATTTGTTTGATTTTGATTATCTTTCTGTCAATGTTGGCACAAAGTTGCATTTAAATTAATCTCACTTTTACATGTATTATGTACATACATGATAAAATCGCCTTGCTGTGGAAAATATAAGTACATAGCCGCTAAAACCTCTATAACTTCCAAATGTATATGGCATATTGTATCTATTTATCGTGGAAACGTATGAAAAAGGAAAATTTTCTAATTGGGATACAAAAGATTGTTTTTTTTGAACATTTGATACAATATTTGGTTGGCAAGCTAATTAAAAAGCGGAAGTTAACAAAAATATCTTTAAACACCATTTTGAAACGTTAAGTGAAATACATACATATATTGCTCTGTAAAATGCCAATTACCCAACATGATTAAATTACACTTCATTTAAATCTAAAATATATTAAACATTTTAGTAAATCAAAAACTATGTAAAATTTTTTATATTTTATTGAGCTTAATTTTTTATAGAATAAATTGTGAATATTTTCAACTTCACACAAAATTGCTTCAAATTTATGCATAGTTTTACACACATAGGTACTCATATTCTTTTTAAATGAAAATCCCCACCGAATTTCAGAAATATTTTATTACAATCCTATTTTTGTAACACTACTGAGGTAGTCATATTCTTTTTAAATGAAAATTCCCACTGAATTTTAGAAATATTTTATTGCTACCTTACTTTTGTAACATTACTGTCTCACTATGATACTTTTATAGAATTTCTTAAAAGCAAAATCGATGAAATGAATGTGCTGTTTACCACAATAACATTAAAACTAATTCTTAGAACATATGTACTTATGCCGGTAGTTGTAATTTCTTTCCTTTAAGAACTTTTGTAACATATAAATAAAAAAAGTCACAGTAAAGTATAGTTTGAACTACTCCAGCAAAGATAGCAATTAAGTCATAATGTGTTTCCATTATATATCTATAAACCCAGTTAAATAGATACAGAGCACGATACGATCCGAGGGCAAAAAGATAATGTGAAGTAATAGATTCGGCTTCTCCTGTCTTACTAACCATAAACAACTGTGGTAATATCGCAACTGATTCCAAATAAATAGAAAAAGTCCAAAGAATTTCCATAACTGTGAATTCATGATTGATCAGCAGGGAAAGTATACCACATGGAAGAATTAAAAATTCTACTCTGAATGAGTCATGATTGTGATCATAAGTTGCCTTGAACTTCACGTACATTAAATAAGCTGTTGCACTGGACGACAACAAAAATACAACTTTCATAATTGAGTTATATAAGCTGACGAAAGTGGTAAACAGATCCAAGTATCTAGCCATATAAACAATTAAAAACAATATTTGTGATTTTCCTGAAATTCCCGCGCAGGATCTTGATTTCCATATTTTTATCAACAATATAATCAAAGCAAGCAAATGCGATAAATCACCGGCAAGCCGAAATATATTCATTTCAATTATATCCTAGATGAAGTTCTTAATTATATGCCAAACTTAGTTATTAATTATGTCGCAGAAGAAGTTCTTAATTAAATCCCGCTCCGAAAGCCTATCTCATTAATCAAATTTTAAGCAACTTTATAATTTAACAGCAAAAGCATCGAACCTAGTGAAGTGGTCGACGTGGCTAGCAGGTTATGGATTTTAGAGTACAACCTTAGATCCTAATTCTTTTTTGATTTAGCGATTTTAGAACTTTAATTACTGAAAAAAAAAACGAAACAATGTAAGCACTATAAATAACTGCTTATGCGTTACCTTATGCTGTATTTTTGAAATACAAAAAAAAATAATGCAATTTCCTTGAAAATATTGTATTCTCTTTTATTCTCGTTTAAAGTTCTTTCAGTAGTTATCAAGCCACGATAGCGCCGTGAATTTTTGTAGAAATAAATTAAGCTAACAACGCAAATGACACAAAATTTATTTCTTCCCAAAGAAGGATGTCACGAATGTTTTTCTCATTATATTCAAATTAAAAATCGTGCTTTCACATTTTTGTACTTTCAGTACAAAATTGACGTTCTTTTGCAAGAATAATCAAATCATAGCATAATTATTAATTGAGATTTCTTTTTATATGTAAGTTATAACTTATGTACATTATGAACTTCTAGGTGTTTGTAATCCATTTTAATTTTGATTTTACACAACAAAAATATGATCAAAAAGGTTAGTAGTAAATTTTTCTGTTATTTTTCTTCGTTTGGAGTTTCTTTTTTATTTTTTATTTATTAATTTTTTGAAAATTATTGGTTTCACTTCGTCCGTCCGTGTGTCTGTTTACAAAACTTCTACATCCTAGAAGATAGAAAGCTGAAATTTTATATGTACATAGATCTTTACTAGAGACTTATTTCCGTAGAACAAAATTTTCACCTTACTCCCCGCTTTAGAAGTTGTACCACCCTAAAATAATTTTTACGAAATTATTTTTGCTGCATTTGAATTGTTTATTCCAGTGTTGAAAACTAAAGATACTGGCTCTGGTCCTCCATGGTTTTCACAAGAGTTGAGGGTATTTCGCAACAAAAAGAATAAGCTGTGGCGCAAATATCTCTCCACTAAAGGCGAAAGGAACTATGATAATTTCCAATTTCCGTATAATCTATTTAAATTAGCAGCAAAAGAACGTTACGACTACTATACATATCTATAAAACTTCGGATAACCTAATACGTAATCCCAAAGTCTTTTGGAAGTTCATGTACCATAAGAGGAAAAGTGATAGTTATCCAACCTTCTTGAAATTCGGCAGGAATACAAGTAATAATTCCCAAATTATTTCCCAATTTTTTCGTAACTTTTTCGCCGAATCTTACTCCTTTTCATCTTTTCAATTAAATGTCGACAACTTTCGGCACATTGATAACTATCCTAAAACTACTTTTACAAATTTTGTCGCGAACTCTTTTGCGGTTGAAAAATATCTTTCCAATTTGGGTTCTAGTCCTTCTCCTGGACCAGATGGAGTAACTGAGATTTTTTTAAGCAGGTGCTGCTCTTCTCTGGCGCCCATCTTAACCGTAATTTTTAATAAGTCTTATTCTTCGGGTATTTTCCCGTCCGTGTGGAAGGAAGCTTTCATTAGATCAATCCATAAGAAAAACAATAAAAATGACGTGTCAAACTATCGTCCTATAGCTTAACTGTCGGCAATTTCTAAGGTTTTTGAGTTGCTGGTATATGACAATATTTATTTCCATTGTATGCATAGGTTCTTGAAAAAGAAATCCACCGTGACTAATCTAATGGAAGCCACGACAGTTTTCTCAAATAATATGGAAAATGGGTATCAGACGGACGTAATTTACACAGACTTTAGCAAAGCCTTTGACATGCTACCACATGAAATTATTATTTTAAAATTGAAACTCTGGGGATTCCCTGACAACTTCTTAGCATGGATAAAGTCATATCTCTCTGGCAGGACTTACAGAGTCCTCTTTTGTTCAGCAATTTCCTTACCTCTTTCGTCTAATTCTGGTGTACCCCAGGGTAGTCACTTAGGTCCATTGCTGTTCATAATTTCAGTTAATGATGTTGTTTCCATGCTAACGCACAGTGAGGTATTAATATATGCTGATTACATGAAAATTTAAAAAAAAATAAGCTCTACTATTACATTTGTATATAATAAATAAATGATGAGTTGTGTCTTCAAAATGATCTTAACCGCGAAAAAATAGGATGAGAAATTAGGGAAGAAGTGTAATGAAATAAACTACAGCAATTAAAAACTGAAGTAAAAAAAAGAACATATATTTTATTTCTAAAACAAAAACTAAAAATAACATGGTGGTCATTTTTATAAGCCTGTGACCACCATATTGGTGGCCCCTAAATTGAACATTAATTTTTTATACCCGTACGAACGTATGTTCGAAGGGTATACTAAATTTGCCTTACCGTTTGTAACGCTAAGAAATAACGGTCTTAGATATAGACCCAAGTGTATGTTTTTGATCAGCGTCAAATTCTGAGTTGATTTAGCTATGTCTGTACGTCCGTCCGTCCCAACGATAACTCAAAAACTAATTGAGCTAAGTTCACCAAATTTTTACAAATGATTTATTGTAGTAAGTTCCATAACCCTATTTAAATTGAGCATGATCGCGGTACCGGTTCGGGTAGCTGCCATACAACTTCAAAATTTAAAAATTTATTTGGCTATATTTATAAAACTATAGTAAGATTTTAAAACTATAGTAAGATTAAAAATAAAACTATAGTATATCTACAGAAACTATAAAAGCTATAGTATTGAAATTTCACACAAACGAATATTTAGTAGGGCCAACCTGTTTGATAAAAGTCATTGAAATTGAGAAGTGGCTCCTTCTGGTAACTGCCGTACAACTTAAATAGTAGTTTGGCACACACAACATTTTAAGACACACAGTACTCAAATTTTGCATAAATTAATATGGTAATACGAAAACTTAAAGTCCCATAGTCAGTTATGTCAAATTTATTCGCACCTAGGATAACAAATTCGTGCTGGTATCACAGAGGTGACAAGGTCAACTCTATTTTTTCTCGTTTTAAACAAAAATTTTGCTTTACCGACAAGTTTTTTTTTTCCTTAAAAAACGGAACGAACTTTAATAAAATATTAAATTTTTAAATTGAAATTTCGTTAAATTTTTTTTTACCGAGTGAAAAATCTCGAAAAACACTGCCAGACGCAAAGCAGTAGTGTGGAACTCTAATCTACTAAAAAACACCCTCTTCAAAATAAATTATAAAACTAGTCGAAAATGACTAACCATTAATTTTGGTCCAACTTTTTGATTATTTACCAGTTTTTGATCTGGCACAATAGCGTTGTGTAATTGTAAAATTACACTTAATAAAATTGCTGCTTGTTTTTTAATTTCGTCTGTGACACTTAGGATCGTGAGATCCTTGTGTATATCGGCATTACGGACATACCAGGAGGCGTTTACAATTTTTCGTAATACCTTATTTTGAAATCTTTAAATAGATTGAATATGAGTCTGCGCTGTGCAGTCCTATAATTGAATGCCAGACTGGCTTAAATATTTGATTATATATCAAAACTTTGTTGTATACTGACAACGAAGAACGCCTTCCAAAAAGCCATTTTAACTTCCTGTATTCCTCCTCGAGTTCAGCTCTCTTTTTCTTTATTGTGCTCTTTCCATCCTTTGAATTCCTTAAATACTTCGCCTTGTTTGAACGCAATTAAGACGCCATTTATACGAAACGAAATGAATCGTCAATTTTCCTATTAGTGAGATTCACGTGTACTGATTTCACCTCGTTCAGTTTTATATTCCACTTTTCAGTCCATTTTGAGATCTCATCACTGGCCTTTTGCAATTTTTGTGTAGATTTATTTTCATTTTGTTTTATTGCGGTAACTGCTGTATCATCAGCAAATGTAGCTGTTGCCGTTCCTTCCGATTCAGGAATATCACACGTGTATAACAAGTATAATATCGGGCCCAATATACTCCCTTGTGGTACCACCGACCTGATATCATTAAGTGAAGAGTACGCCTCTTCCTGTTTAACTCGAAATACCCTATTAGTCAGGTAAGATTCGAGCAGGTTAACATACTGCCTTGGTAGTAATTGCCTAAGTTTTTTTTTATTAATCCACAATGCCAAACCTTATTGAAGGCCTGGGCTACGTTCAAAAATATGGCGGAACATATTGATTTTTCTTCCAGTCTTTCTGAACCTGATCTATGGTTGAGTGGTTCAGGGGAAAAGAAATTGATGTTTTGGGATTAACTTTTTACTTTCAATTATAGCATAATGCTTGCAAAAAATATTATAACTTATTATGTTAGTTAATATGGTAAGTTTATGTAGAACCTAATGTATATATTAGATCCGCATGTTTACCTTCATTTCAATATAAATTTATTCTTGCAGAGCATTACTAAATTATTCATACTAAACACGTGATTCATGCACATTGTACTGGTACTAGAGCCAACGATAAGTCTTAGCTTAGTTTTAATTTTCCTTCCTTCATCAAATGAATTACTAAGCTACATGCATTTATATTTTAACACGTTGAGTATCAATGTATTACCAGTGAGCAAATCTAAAATGTCAAAAAATGGTGAACATAAGTAAACGTGTATGCATTGAATCGTTGGTGGACATATGAATAACTAACACAACTATAAGTAATGCAGAGATAAATTTGATTTCTCCGGAAAAAAAGGCTAAAATTTTATATATGTACTTCTTTTACTTATTTATATACTTAGTTTCTCTAAATTGTAGGATTACCCTTGTGATGTAGGAACTGGTGAAAGTAAGTCACCACAGGTGAGCACAGACTATGCGAAGTCTTTAAGAATTGTTTTTTAAAATTTGTTTTCAAAAATATTTCAAATTAGTGCAATTCGCACAAGGGACTTCTAATATAAATACAATACAAGTAAAATTGAACAATATACTAAATCTAATACTTGTAAAAACGAACGATATACTCAAATATGGAATATTGATAAAAGAAAATGAGAAGTAAAATAAATGAAATTCTATACACACAAAAAGTGACCGAATCAGTTGCTAATATAAATACGATACAGGTAAATTTGAACTATATACTAAAACCAAAATAAATAAAAACGAACGAAAATTGATCAAATATAAATAAAATGCAATACATATACAAATAAAATTGACCGAACACGTCACACGAGTCTATTGCCTAATATAAATGCAACCAAATTGCCTAATATAAAAGTGACCAAATAAAAAATCTACCTAAATTGAAAGCTACTTGTATGAAATAAAAAAAGGCAAGCATTTAACTGGGCAACATACATATGTCTTAAACTTTTGCATAAAATTTTTAAAAAGGATAATAATTATGATCGTTTATTTACCTAAATATTTCCGCCG